GAAGCACAATTGACGCCAACAGTCTCGTTACAACCGGGGTCAAGCTGATCCCCCTGTGGTTACCACACTCACTACGCGCCCTTTTTTTTTAAAATGGGCACTATCACCGATTCTCCCCACTTGTCTGGGATAGACTCCTTTTCCCACATGCAAGCAAACAGATCGGACAAGCGCTGACTGAGGACTTCACCCTCGTCTTTGAACAGTGCTGGTGGAAGGTCATCCCGGGCGGGAGCTCGGTGGCGCTTGAGGGAACATATGCAGTCGTAAACATCCGAGGCCATGAGTGGTTCCGGAGTAATGAAGTTGATAATGCTCTTCGTAAACATCCGAGGCCATAAGTGGTTCCGGAGTAATGAAGTTGCACAATAATGCTCTGTAAACTCACCGTTCTGCTTGTTTTGCTGGTATTGGGGACGGCCACCGATTAATTGGGCAAACCTCAACAGGGTGCCAGAACATAGTGAAAATTCAATTATTGCGCAGGCTATTATTGTGGGTAACTGTAGTTTTGATTACAATACATTTAAGGGCATTTATAGGCGGGAAATCGAAGACTGTTATCGCTGGCAGGCCTCATGCAACTGAAAAATTCTAGGCAACGATAATAACAGAATTACGCACGGCAGTAAAGGGTTGCACAATAATGCTCTGTAAACTCACCGTTCTGCTTGTTTTGCTGGTATTGGGGACGGCCACCGATTAATTGGGCAAACCTCAACAGGGTGCCAGAACATATTGGAAATTCAATTATTGCGCAGGCTATTATTGTGGGTAACTGTAGTTTTGATTACAATACATTTAAGGGCATTTATAGGCGGGAAATCGAAGACTGTTATCGCTGGCAGGCCTCATGCAACTGAAAAATTCTAGGCAACGATAATAACAGAATTACGCACGGCAGTGAATGATCGATGTTGAACACTGATATCATGCTGTCGATGATGATGACGGGTTACCACTAGTCCATTCCTTAAATTGCCTGGATAATTATACGTGCAGGACAACCCACAACTGGTATCAATGTACGTTGCATAACGATGAGATTTACTCATATTGCAATGAAGAACGCATTCATTTTCCGGCTGGACTTATTTTAGTATTGACCTGCAGATAAGAAAAGACGAAACAGTCGACCTAGTTATCCATTATGGAAACTAGACGCGCAAAAATATCAGCAACGGATTAAGTGCTTCTTTACATAGTATTTTGTAAGGTTGATATTCTGACATACACTTATAGCTGCGTAAATTAATCTGGGTGACGAGTAGATAATTGATAAGGTCATTACAAAAGGTACGTAACACCAGTGTGTTCTCTGAAGACCATGGAGAAGCCATTTTTAGTGTCCACCACTCCTCTATCGATGGTATGACTTTATTACTCCCTTGCTCACCAGCACTTCTAAACTCGATTTCAAAGCAAACGGCTTGTTCGCTTATATTTTAGAATTTCCCCGTAGTTATGTATTATTGAACAGTTTCATTTTTCTTGACAAATACAATCAAGAAAACTATTTTGTTTTGCAATTATATTTATAACAACGCAAATATTTTTCTCGATGCAAGCCAAATTATCAATAATTTTGTTGTTCCAACAGTCTGCTAAAATCACAAGTGCGCGAAAGACAGGTAGCTTTGGATAACAAACGTGCTGCCCCCAAGCAGTGGTTACAAGATAAATCCAAGCAGGCTAAGATTTTATCACATCTCTGGCATGAAATACCCCACGCTACTGTGAATGATGAGCCTTTTAAATATAAATTGACGGCTACAAGCAAAATTTTTAGAAGCCCAATAAGAGAACAATCACCGTCGAGGCTTGGAAAGAGACATTTCTTCATCTCGTCACAAAAGTGGGAAAGTTAAGTTTGAGTAGGCAGGCAAGCCATTGACTGAGTTGAGCAGCTTATCACTGCACAGTTTTATCAGCTACGTAATGGATGGTTGCAACAGCAATCGCATAGGGTTCCCTCAACTTGTAAATTAGATGAGAGTTGCCACCATAACTCAGTAACGGCTCCCAGGATTTGCTTTAAAACGAAAGTTTTTCTAGATCCATCTTTGTACAAATCCAAAGAAACTGTTTCCCTCTGCTTGGTTAGCTAAACAATTTATAAGTGTTTTTGGTCTTCTGCTCTCGAAAGTAAGCTGAGGAATCACCACCGCTTGCCACCCAACTCGTTAACAAGTGACGGAGACTGACTCATGAAAACTTCAAGAAACCCGTCGAAAATGTTGATTAACTGATGAAATGTACGATAATATACATTATGACTGACGACATAATGAGCTAAAAAGTTGCCCTTTGCTTTTCGGCTCATGTCGTTTCCGTAACATTCCTCTGCCATTTCTTTCTTCCATTCCTTCCTGTTACATTTCACCCACCTCTAGATTTTTGCTACTGCAAATAAGGCACGAAAAACACCGCTTGTCTCTGCAGGTAGTAACTCGATATGCGTGACACATAGCCAAAGCGTTTTGTTTGCAATACTGGATGCATTCTGTCAGTGAAGTGCCCTCTGTTCCACTGAAAACCCATCTCTTAGTAATCTTATTGCAGATTCATCTGTTGCAGCTGATTTTAACCATAGTTTCAAGAGATCAGTTGCAAAAAACTGAGGGTGTCTCAGATCCTCAATCATAAGTGACAAGGCATTGCAACCGTACAACAGTACATTTTATACTGTAGTCTAATATACGCGTCCTATGAGACATACTGATATACTCTTTTGACGGCACAAGTGATACAAAGTGAAAAAAGCAGTTGTGGCCCTCGGGATTAGTTGGTCTCGTCTATAGCACTACCGTCAGAGTTATTGCAACTTTGGGTTAACTAAAGATTTGCAAGGCTTACAGTGTCATTCACTTTTTGAATTCTAAGATGCATGTTCAAAGACCACATTCCGCAGCTTGGTTTTATACTGTGTGGGCGCGAAGCCCAATCCGCAGGACTTAAGTACTCAAATCAGCTTTCTGAGAATTGCTCGTGGTTTTTGCTGTCCTTCAAAAACGAAAACATTATTGTCTACATATTTTGAGTTGACAAGGTTGCCACTCGAAGAGATCTGAACACCGGTGTTTTTAAGATATTCATGTTTCCCGATCATTTCATCAATAACGAAATTAAGCAATATGAAGATAAAAACCGTTGCGTGTATAAGGCTTTGGAAGAGTTCTCAGTGCACTCACGGACGACTGCAAGTTGAGAAGCATAAATCGGCCGGCAGAATCGAATGTACTCTCGAAAATATGGAACAAGATTTAAGGGAACCCATACACATGTAGTTGCGATAACTCTTGAAGGGGTATGGAGATGTGGCTCACACAAAACGTTTTTCGCCGAAATTCTGTTTGCTGTTCTCGGATCATCTCGATGCTTCCCTTCATAGAAGGATGTAAACTGGGCAACGCAAAAGGCCTGATTATGACAGCAGTCGAGCCATTTCTTTTGTGAATGCTACGCTCAATGCGATCACTCTTCCTGAAACTAGGCGCCATTATTGAATCAGCTCATTTATTCTGGAAGCCTGCTTTACCTCATATAAAGATAAATATTTTAGACAAGCACCGGCCAAAGATTTGTCTCCATCTTTGAACATAGCCGGTGGGAGTTCGTCAGGACTAGCAGATGGGTCTCGCTTAAGGGACAAAGGACATTCCCTCGATTCCAAAGCCGTCGAGAGTTGACTGTGCACGGCCATCCAATCTTGCACAAGATAAAAACGTATTTTCTGTCTTTATATTGAAACAGTTGCTTTACCGGCATTAACTTTCAATCTCCAACATGTTTTGGACCCTGTTAGTTACTAGACCGCGTAGCAATCTATCAAAAAAAGGCACCTCTTACAAACTTGTATTCCTACAAGGATGAAGTACAGCGGCTCACATGAGCCAACTGGAGTCTGGTATTATTCTTTTTTGGAGAATTTTATGTAAAATATTGTTAAGCAGGATCAGTGTAACTTATAATTTGTTTTCTACCTTGTTTCTGACATGTTTCTACGAATGACACATGATGGGGTGAATGTTCTCCCAGAAGGTTTTTGGTATTTCAGGACCCGAGTGGGCAAGTCACGTTCCCATCTCCGATTTAAACGGTTTATGGAAACAAACTATTCCGAACAAGCAAAACACTTTGACCGCGTGGTTTAGCTTAATTGCCATGCCCTTGGTTTGTGTGGTGTTATCAGGGGACCTAAAAATTACAAAACTGGACACTGAAAGTTGCGGGTAAATTCAGTTCATAAAAGCAATACAATACCAGTTATCGTATTAGAAAGTTTTGAGACAGCCCTGGCCACAACTTACCACGTATATTGCTGGTGTGAATGTAGTTTATTCATCAAAATAAGAGTGTGCAATGTCAGTGCGACCCGCACTGCGTTATGCATAAGAGACAGGGAGTGTGCAAAATTGAGATAGGTGGAATATTTTACCTCTAGCCATGAATATTCCTGAATCACTGCCGTGGTATTTATGAACATAGGATACGCAAAACTCAAATATGTGAGGTAGTTTGAGAAGGACAAACCGTCTGCAACTAAAAGGATGATTATAATTCACATTTTATTCTGGTTAGGTTGTACACTATGTGTCTACCTCAGTTTTATTCCTAGCCAGACATTGAGTGAAAACACCGAGATTGTTTGGCGGTGAACCCTTTTTATATTCATTTTGGCAGATGCGGAAGTTGTGCCTTCGGCAACGTTGGACAGAAATACGGAGTGCTGTAGACCAAAAATAAAATCCGGTTCTTTAGGTGTCCTCGAACATAAATGTTAATTTAAGGTACTTGGGAAGTGTGATCAAAGTGGAACGGTTTTGGGCCGATCATTATGGTATAAGACAATATGTAGGTCTGTAAACCACAGTTGAATATATGATTTTGGCTACAAAAGAACATCAAAAGACTTAAAGTGCGCATAGGCCCACTTTACATTTGGGCTTGGTCAGTACTTTTGATGTATGCCACGAAAGCTTGAATGAATTTTCATTCAGCTGATTTACTCTTTGTGGAATTTAGTCAGTTAATAACAAGTAGATGTAAACCATCCTGCTTCAAATGATTCTATGTGCCTGAACCCTCTTTCATATCCCTCCAATCTATTTGTTGGTGTAATGCTCACATCCATTAAAAGTTTAACCACTAAAGAGGTTCTCAACGAAGACATGCAAACTTTTCTCTTTTGTTTGTTGGTAGATGACTACACTTTCAGCTTTCTTTACTTTTTATGTAAGTGGCTTTGAAAATACTGTGAATGTTGACTTGTTTTGGCAAACATATTTGTCAATATATTGCTCGCCATTGCCTGGAAATCCAAGTTAGTTGTATCCATTTCATAACTTTTGAAGGAATGCCCTATTATCACAAGGTTTGGAATTTCTATGGTCTACGAAGATATCCCCGTGCTATAAAACCATTACCGTATCCCACAAATTGACCCAAAACGATATTTTCCCATGGAGTTTGTGTAACTCCTCTGTAGGCTCACTTATCTTCCTTGTTTGTTTGCCTAGGGAACGATTATTTCCTGCAACCGAAAGGGGAAAACACCGGCTGAAAAAATCGTCGCCGTTTATCCCGGTCATATTGGTCCGGTTTATGCCCTGCAACGCAATCCATTCTTCCCGAAGAACTTTCTGAGCATTGGCGATTGGACGGCCCGTATTTGGTCAGAAGATATACGTGACTCTGCAATAATGTGGACGGCGTACCACGAACATCGCTTATCTGACGGCGCATGGAGTCCTGTGAGACCGGCTGTGTTTTTCACATCCAGATTGGATGGGGTGCTGGATGTGTGGGATGTCATTTTCAAGCAGAAGGATGCTACGCTTAGTATTCAGGTCTGTCTTGCGGCAGCCTTTTTAAGTATCATTTCAAGGATTTTGATCTGAGAATTTTAGCCCTGCCTACTTTAAGGATTGCGGTTTACACCGTAAATCATTTGAGGATTTGCTAGATCAAACAAATGGAGTGTAGAAATGTTGGAGTCAAAAGGCAGCACATTGCTATTGGGATATGCTAGCCCCTAACAAAATAGTAAGGTACTGGCATTACCTTGAAGGCCAAATGTTATTAGTACGTACAAAGTATTTTGTGAGGAAGGGAAGCGTTCACCGTTTTGTATGGTAAGTTAAGGGCCCGACACTTCAACTCGGTGCTCTGAATCAGTTCAATGGTATTGGAGACCAAGGTTTCCCACGATGAATTTCATAAATTTTATCCAGAAAAGCTTGACACATCTAATTCTTCTCAAGATACATCCTTACTAAGATTCTTACTAGGATATATAGTTTTACGAATACACCCCATGATTTGGCACATCTGTTAGACTCAACAGAAGTTGGTAGTGGATGCACAGCCTCTTAATTGATTGAATCTGTTGTGCGCTCATTTTTACTAATTGGAACAGTCTTACAAGTTTCGGGGTAACTTGATTAGACGCACACATTTGACAAAACTCAGTCCCTGGGGACCTGCTTGCTATTAGGAATAAAAGACAAGAGACACGGCTTGTTCAGAGGCTTTTCTTATTCGAACTATGCTCAACTCAAGAAAGAAAGTTTACGTCAACTGATGGCATTCGATATGCTGAACTAGGCTTGACATGTTTCGGTAGTGAAGGTGCAAAATTACTGACCGGGAGGCTCATATCTTACAGTAGCCCGACACAGTCTTTTATATTCGTTGATTAGAACCTTAAAATGTCTGCTGCTGTGTGCAATGTAAACAGTCACAAACGGTACAGCCAATCTTGTAGACAGAGACCGTACCATCATCTGCTCAAAACAGGTCTTTTTTGCGAAGAAGCTTCCTCGGTGGCGTGCTATCGGTGGAGACGTTGAAGATGCATGATGTGAAAAGGATGATTCCAAGTTTGTGCTGCTGGTACGGAATCCATGCTGTTTCGGTAGAGTCATCCTTCGGTCTGGGTAAAATATGTGCAAATATGTGACCGACGTATGTCAGCCTAATCTGATTGTCAAATTCGCCCCATATCTGGAAGTTATTGTTTACTGAGTACTGGTCAACCGCAATAGAAGCAGCAAGGGATTCAAATGCAACTCTGTTCGTAAACCGGAACCTTGAACTCAGTAAAAAGCGACTAGAGTTCCGAATCCTGCAGAATCTCTTGCATCGAGTGGGAAATATGACTGTCTTATTAAGGTAGGCCTCAGGAAGTTTAGTTTGTCTGCAGTAGAAATAATAATATACGGCAAATCGATATCGGAGCGGGTGCTTTATCAGGTGCTTGCTGATGAACACATACCAATATCAAAAGTAATAGCTGGTGAAATGGTGAAGCTTTTGGAAATCCAGTCTATTCGGTCTTTTTTGTTAATCTTTAACTCAGCTGGTAAATATGTATACACATACCGAAGCTGGTCATTTCAAAGATTTATTTGATGTTGTAACTGTTTGTTTAACGAAGGAATAACTTTATTTGCTGTACCGACTTTAGCGTGTCAACCGCTGCTTGATAATTGTCACGTGCCCAGCGTGATCTTCTTGCTCGGGTAAAGGTATAATGCAAATCACAAGCGAGTGTTTACTGCTTGGTGCTGTCGACTGAAAATCGTCAGATAACCGGTGATTATGGTACTTCCGACATATACGTATATCAGGAATGCTAATAACAGAACAGCTCAGTTTTGAGTTCAACACGCTGTCGATTGGATGGTCAAGAGAGCAAATCCGCTTTGTTCAAGCTTTTTTATTAAAAAAACACCAGACGGTGATGTTATGTCCAGCTAGTCAGTTGTTATTTGGATTGCAATGACCTAATTGGATAATGTCGGTCATGACTGGACAAGTTCCGTGACCACAACAGTACACTTTTGAGAAAGGGGTAAGTCCTAAAACAATGGATTTGAAAGCAAACCTTTTTGTGAGTTTGCATGAAATAATTTCCACGATTCTACAAGAAATTTTTTATTATTCTTTAAAGGTATGCGACGAACCCCTTCATTGCCTAAAAGTGCAAGAACAAGGACGACTAATTGCCACCGGATCACACAGTGGGGTATGCACTATTCTTGAACTATCGGATGGATTCGCAACTCAACCAAAAAACGAAAAGACATTGATGACTTCGATGTTTGAACGGGAAACTCATCGGGAGAAAATACTGGAAGCTAGAAACAGAGAAATAAAACTGAAAAAGACAAAGGCAAATTTAGGGGTGAGTGCGGTACTTTCCTCTGTCGAAATTCAATGGGTTCTTTTTCTTTCAAGTATCATATAATTATTTGAAAGATTCCAAGGGTTTCTGTAATAATACAGTGTACTTTAATGCTTTTTCTAGCCTAAAGAAATATGAATTTGGCAAACTACCTCATTTAATGAAACAAGGTACTGGAATTTACAACACCGCCATCACCATGAGTAGAGTTACTTGTAAGGCGATACTGACCACTGTATGAGTCTGATATGTGCTTCGTAGCTATACGATGATGGTCGTCCACTAGGAGGATGTCTTATCTTGGGAAGAGAAAAACACATGAAGCCTAATCACCCACTCGTGGGCCTCAATACAACCGGATGCCTTAACTGAAGAGGCAGTTTTATATACTACCATGGGTTTGGTATTTTTGTACTGCTCTCAGACCCTTTTAATTCAGTAAAATGAACAGTTTTCCGAATACAGAATGTGGTGTTTCCTCCCGTGTGATCCACGTTAGATCGCAGCTCACAAGAAATATGGCTGTGGCATTTTCAGGATATTAGACCTACAGTAGAGAGGGAAGGATAAAATGAGATCACCATTCAGAAATGTCACTTTAGGTCAGAAGATTATTCATTTTACACGGAATTATTATCTTTTCGTGAAGTGTCTTGCACTTCTATCTATCTGAGAGTAATTCACTTACTTGTGCTTGCTTTCAACGCTGTTGGCCGGTTTCGTGACACATTCCACGTTGATCCAAGCTAACTTTTAATCTATTCATCACCAGCACAAAACCGCTGTATAATTTCACGTTAAGAATACGACATATAGCTTCACGGAGTGAGTGGAAGAAACTGCACAGAGTCCAGGTGTTTTTGGTGCAGTCCCCCACCCAGGAGTGGATTTTCGTGATCACTACTGCGCTTTACTGGAGACATCGCCAGCTATGATGGCTAATCTATCTCAGGGGCGTTCGTGCTGTCAGTTTCTTTCCAGATTGTCTGACGGAGCTTTTGGAGGTATGGGCACCTCAGAATGCTTGCAACAGTTTCACATTAAGTTCATCCCTCCTACGTTCTTTCCTCTTCACTTTAAGACTTGTAGTGTAATTAAGTCAGGTGGAGCGTCAGTGTCAACACTGTTGTTGCTGTCCCTAATGATGATGACTGACATTTTCCAGATACAACAATGGAGATGATCAAGACGCACCAGCCCAAGTCAGGCCATAAATTGCTCAGTAGCGATGCAACAACACTGATGACTGAAACCTGAGTCAGTAGGATTGTAAAGTGTAATTTTGAAATGACGGATGCGATGTTGGGAACGAGAGGTATTTTCCAGCAAAGTTCTGCTGGGCTTGACAAGTAGCGCTAGACCAAAGACGCGATAGCGCGATCAACGTTCCCTATGGGAAAAATGTCTTCTTAAGGTTCTTTACGTCTGAATAGGATGCAGATTACTTTCAAAAGTTTGAAATTTAAGCCTTTTGTTATGTTGTGGTAGCTAGAATATTGCCAGACTTACTTTTGAGCGCTCAGTAGGTTTTGTAATTCCGGAGCTAATATGATCTGTTCCGTGGTCCTTGGGGGGGGGGGGGGGGGGGGTATCGAGGATCCCAAGTTTCTAACAAGCATTGAATGATTCAGAAGAATCGTTTGTCTGTAGTCTGGAACCGGTACCAGTGAAAAAAAGCTTTTGTGTTCCCTCATTTTTGTGGACTTGATTCACATAAGATGACTTTTGTTGGGATGGAGCTAAATGTTGACAGCTTTATGAATCCGATAAAATTCCTGTGGGTTGATGGATCTTATCGAAAGTGTTCAAGGTAAATATGCAATCAAAATCCTCAAGTTGGTACCAATGTCACGTTGGAGGAATAGTCACGGAGAATGGAGGCCTAACGAGGCGTGAAACTAAAGAACTGCGCTTTTATCATTTGCCGAACTTTAGGAGGACGCGGAACGTACCGAAGAAGTTTTAGATCCAAAAGAAATGGCTGAGCGAATCAAGAAGGTGGAAGAAGACTTTTTTGAAACCATCGAAGCGAAACGAAAAGAACGGGAACAACGAGAGAAAGCAACCGAAGAGTCCAGAGCAAATTTGGTGACTACAGAAGGCGTAAGTACATTTTGCTTAGGCGCTGTTTCCCAGTGAACCGTTAAGTGTATAGAAAAGCAGGATATCCTCCTTGAATTTCGTTGTATGCTCATATCCACATGCGTATCTTCTCTTGCCGAATGAAGGTCAGCGTGGAAGTAGGGGGCGTCATTATTCAATTCTCGCGATATCCCAAAATCTCATGTTACAGCATGAACAACCTAACTGTCTACAGGTTGCCTGCCCTAAATGAAAAGCTTGGAAATTACTCGAACAGAATCAGACCCGCGTATGCAGTGCCCAAACGAGTTTGAAGATACTTTTGATGAATCTAGAGAACACTGAGTGGCATACTATTGGAGATTTCGTTTTCACTGCAGTAATTTGATGGCTGGTAAACAGTATTATCAAAGTTAATGATTTCGGCTTTGACTGAGTTACAATAGGAAGTGACGGAAGTGATCATGCCTGTTATTCTGATCATATCTGTTCAAGCACAGATGAAATATGTAAGTCTGTTGTTCCAACGCGACCTCGATTTCTACAAGTTTGTGCGTCAATGAACATGTCTTGGTTCTGGAATTTGGAAACAAGACGCCTTGAGATGGATATTATTCTATGTCCTCAGTTTTCAGCTACTGTCCATCACCCTGTGTTGAGCATGTCCAATCGGTCTTTGCTTTTTTTACCCATGATTCGAAAGCAAATTTCGCAATCTGCGTAATTTACTCTGGACCTGTGGTTCAGTTACCAGTCACTTTGAAGAAAGCTGTACAGCAGGACGCACGTGTATATAGTCCGAATGTGTGCACTCGTAGATATAGAAATAGGTGACACAGAATAGTGTTTAACACAAGCTGTAACGGTTCACATAGAAAGTTAGGGTATAGAAATAATTGCCGCAACAGTCAGCTTTCACTTGCGGTTTAGAGCATCGGCCAGATAACACTCAGTAAACTTAGCAGAGCATGCTAGATCCAAGGGCGGCATGGGAACGAAGATATGTTCTAGGTGCAATCCGAATAAATAAACTTCTTTTGGATGTGTCTTCATTTAACAATTTGACGTTTGTGAGTGTCGCGTACTCCTGTCACATTATGCTTCACTTGTGACGTCTTTTCCTTTTCTAGCTGCCATGCACTCACTGGGAAATGCAAATAACACTCTGCCAGCAGATAGAGCAGTAACAAACACATAGCTAATGCACCTGAAGCTTTCTCAGAGATGCTGACCCAGATGCTTCCAGTTCTCTTTAATTTCGTTTTAATGTGGAAAAACATTTTAGACACCCGAGAAAACAATATTTTCGTTGGCGATCCCCTGCATTTTCTGCCCAGGCCATTCTTTTAAGTTGAGCGCTTGGTAATTAAAGCTGTGTATGGTCGGTACCATGATGTCCCCCACAATGGTTTGTGCTTTCAATGATGATCACGCAATATTTGTGCTCCAATGCAGTGGAGACCAACCTCGGTCCATTTGGACAAAAATGATGTCCAGTGGTGAATCCTGAATTATTCCGGGCTGTTTTTCTACCATCTAATGATTTTGGCTTCGTCCAACCGGAGGATTATGGTCTATGTTGCTGGGTGATTTGGGCGATGTGCCTGATTCAGGTTTGAAAATCTGATTCAAGTCTGGTTAGCCATCGCGCTATCCCAAAAATGTCCGATACCGCCTCACCTGATCTACCTGTACATTTTGTGGGTTGTTTCGCCGACTTCACCTGGAATCATATGAACGATATACTGTGTGACGAATTTGCTTTTGGGGGTGGAAATTTTTGTGAAGGAAACTGGAATATTGGTCCTGATGACCACATCTTCCAAATGTTGACTTTCTGTGGGACTTCCATACCACTTGAGGTCAAATTAAAAATCCGCTTAAGGTTCCCAGGGAATCGTGCTTTTTAAACGTCTGCGCGCAGCAGCGTCAACAATTCCAGTGGAAACTCTCGCTAGTCATGAAAACACCTTATTTTCTTCACATTATTCCAAACGAAACTGAAGCAAGATAATGCGTATCCCATACAAACTGATCTGGTTTTATAAATCACTTTTTCGGTTCTGAAAAGATAATGTCCAAACGAATGTAGATGTCTTTGGTGGCTAAAATAACTTTTTGAAACTTTAATTGAGTTTGCTGTATAAGTAAATATAGCTGATAGATTTAATATCTCGCCTAATGGATAAATGAAATTCACTTCATTGTGTACAACCAGGATGTAAGACAGCTGAGCTAGCAGTGTGTGGGTCGAAGACTTTAACCGGCCCCCATCTTTTGTGTTTCCTTCTGTTTAGATACTACATTTCCAACATATGTTCAGACCACTAATTTAACGACCTTTTTCAGGAGCTTGATTTGGATGAAGATGACGAGTTCGAAGGAACCAAAGAATCACGCGCAGAGACATACGCGACTGAACTCGAGGAGTAACAGTCGATCCATCAAATGAGAGATATACTCACATTTTTGGGAATATTGCAGAATCTGTGAAATATTCTGCTCTGCGGGGTGAGGAAAAGAAATTACTTTATGTCGATTTATGGATTAAAATATACCGTTGTTCTTCAGAAACATGGCGTTGTTTCTACTATGGTGGCATACATTTGTTTATGTTCCAAACATCAAAACCTCATTCTATTCTCAGTTTAATTTATGAAAACGTGGGGTTTTTGGACAAACGTGCTGTTATATTCTGGCAGTGGATTTTATCCAAGAGTGGTTTTATGTCAATCTACCTAATAGTGCAGCATGTGGTTGGCTCCAGGTTGCATACTTATCGTCCATCGAAAGATTTTATGATCAGTCGTTGCTAGATACCCTGCATTCGGTTTTTCAGAAGGTGGGTACCGTGAACATGTGATGTTATAGTAATGACATAAACATATTCACATATCTTGCACAACAAGAAACTGAAGGTAAAGCTTTAATTGCGGTATCTAAAAAAAGGCGTCTTTGGGATTACCGGTATTAAACTTCGACTCCAATACGTAATCCAGTACATGCAAATTACTCGTTCTTCTTCTTTTACCTCACCCACTTCGACCGACTAATGCAACAATTTTGATTCAACGCCAATTGTGACATGTTTACACATGCTGTTTTTGGTCAAAGAACCAAGTCAAATGCTTAAAAACATCATAAACGAGAGATTCACCCAGGTCCCAGTTGAGCCTCCCGTCAAAACCAAACTGATATGCAAATGTGTATTTTGCCAAGTTAAATATAATATCAGGTTTCTTCAAGCTACTTCAAATGCGGATTTTGACCTATGATACAAAAGGCCTTGTATGGAAGTAAGGGTTGAGGTTCAATGGCGTGATCAGTTCATCATAATCATCATTGTCAGCTGTAAGAACTACGTATCTGTCGTACAGCGGTTGTAGCTGCCACAGTTTCGTTCACTTAGAGGAGCAGAACTCAGATTATGAATTCCTCCATCCCTATAACTCGTGCTAATTGGTGTGGTGTTTGTGGTCGACTGGACCCGATTCAAGGATATCAACTGTCGAGGAAGTCACGCTGTTGCAGCAGTATATTTTGCGAGGAAGAGTTCTGGTAGAACGTATTTCACATTCTTAGCATAATGAGTCTACAGAAAGTTCCTCCTTAAACATACCTGCGAGTTTTGAGTTTACACTCAGATACTTGCCATCAACACGAACTGTGATACATCAACAGCTTGTATTAGTGGTGAACTCTCACAAATTCATATGAAAGCGATTTTCTGGCGCAGTAAAATAAAGAAGGTGGACGTAGTGCAAAACAGCCTTGTATGCTCAGGACGCCTCTGTTTTAGATTATAATCAGAACTGGCACTGGTGTACGAATGCCACAGAGGCAGTGGTCAAGCCTCCGTAAAAAATCCCACAGAAAAAATAGAGTTAAAAAATGCGCACCAAAAACTTGTTAGGCATTTTGGAAAGAACCAGAAGCATGCCATGTTCTGTAATGCTTTCAGACAACGATAAACAGTAGTACGTTGATCACAGTGATGGATGAGAAACAACTCTGCAATGGCACCCGCTTTCATTCTGCGTTATCTTGTTGTAGCCTACAGTGCCATCAGGAGACGTACATCAGCTGGGTTTGGAAGTGGATAACAAAGCTAATTTGGAAGACAGTAAAAGGGCATGCGTAGTATTTTTCATCTCCGCCTCCGCCTGATTCCAGATAAGCAAAAAGGCTGTCCTCTTTCAAGCTGTTGACAGCGTTTCCGCTCAAAGCAAAAGAAAACGACAAAATATGGCCTATAAAGGGGAAAACGTAACAAGATACGTCCAAACTGATCAGATCGTCTTGAAATAACGGGAAGTGATGAACAATAGTTACAAGTCGGGTGAAATAGGATTAAGTGTTACCAAATTTGTTGAATGTAGAAGAGTATCCCCATGGAAAATCACGTCCTGTTTCTTCACGGAAATGATCTAAACAGGTAAGGTTGATCTTGCATTGACATGTGCGTTAAGCTAGAAGGTATCAGTCACTAGGGCCGAAAGTGTTGGTACCTGAATCCGTATAGCTGGCTCGACACTCCAGATGTTATGGACGTCTTAGTCACAAGTGTTGGTTTAAAGGGAATTTATGCGACCGTTGTTTTACGACAAAAAATATTCAGGGCAGTGTATTGGAAAGTTAAATGATAGGGCTGATGAGAACCTCTTAGAAGTGCTAATGTCTTTTAAGTATCTCTACCTTAATTACCTACCTCTACCTTAATTAAAACAAGCTTGAGGACGACTGTTTCAAGTTCAGTCTCATGAGGCTAGTTCAGATCGAATATTTAGCAGCCACGATATGTGAGCAAATCGATGGATGTTTACTGAGTCATCAAGGGTTTCGACACACATAGCTTGCGGAACATTGAAAATTAGGTGAATGTATGTATGGTCAAGTAGCAATCATGGACCGGCACTTTACCCTAAAGATTCAAATTGGACAGCCAAAAATTACTGAACGTATTCGTTTAAGTTTTTAGAAAAAGGGTGGATAAAAAAGTTTAATACTCCCAAAAATGTTTGCCCGAAATTCCAGTGCATCAAGCGTATTACAAGGACCGCTATTAGGTGCTTTTTATTCGGTATCAGGTTAACTCTCCTCCACGAATGAGGCGGATGGTTGCTATCTCCTGTTCAGCTGTCTTTGGAAGGAAGGCATTTTTATCAAGTTTTGGTTTGCGGTGCGAGTATTATTTCGCCTTAGGTCCTGCGGGCTGAACTCACGAGTTCCGGTTGGCGTTCGATATAATGACTAGATATCTCCATCGGAACTCGATCAACTGTGTAAAACTTATATGCACCCTTATTTGTGGGAAGACCGGTTTCATTTTTAGTAGAAAAGGGAGCTGGTTTTCCGTCATCAAATGGTTTCTCTATCTACATGACATATTGTGTGAAATAGTTCATCATCCTTGACCTACGCTTTTAGCTTTGCAATAGCTCTTCTCTTTTATTGTGCATTCCAACGAGACCATACAATATGGACTGAGACTGATTTTATTTCAATTAATAAGTGAAACTATAGTGAACAAACAACACGAATCGGTACTGGTGGAAAATTCGGAAGTACCTGCTAATTCTAACTGTAATATGTCTTGCAGAAGTTTCTACACATTCATTCGCGAAGCTACGCAAGGCAGTGCTGTCAGTCTGATTCACTCAACTTTACGAGTTCGCCACACCCCAAGTATGGGACCCTACTTCGTCACCAGTTTCTCGGATTCCCGCAAAATATACTACTGTTACTTTGTAGGTAGTGTAAACGGCATGAAAATCCCGTTTCGTCCTGTCTCTTGTGGATTGTGTTTATCTGTTCAACAGCCAGGACGATCAGGAAGACAGTCTTGAATTTGAATGGGCTTTATCTCCAAAGGTCTGGTGGATATTTTAACTGCCAGCATTTCCGTTAGCACAGCAGCACTAACGACTACATATGCGGTGCCTTAATTGGAGTTCGAAGTGGATTGATCCTCAAGCGTCTGCTGCTCGTACTAATTAAATTAGGTTGGAGTGATCAGGAAGCCTATTGTATGTGTTCAGTAAGTGCCATTCAAGGGGAAGACTACGTTCATGCACTTGCTTGACGAAGGAAATTGTTTGTATAATGGAGTATGTCCTTACAGTTTTTGTGCCTAAGTTTTGCTTTGTTTGGTTGAAGAGTCATGCCTTTTCGCTCGCACATTTTGGTTAAAATCTCCGCTTGATCAACGGCGGTCACTTGCTAATGACATCAGATCCAGTGAACTTTTTCCATGGAAAAATTCAGCACTTTACCGGAACATTCAATTAAGTTGTTTGTATAAATACTCCCTTCTAAATAGATACCCCTTACCAAAATTCATTCTGTCTCATTCTCGCGAAATTTAAAACCGGACCAACGGGCGCTTTAGCAAACCGTTTGATAGAAAACAAAATTTTTTTTACTGCTACGGTTCATTTATCAACAAGGATTTTTCTCTTAAAAAGCTAGAAAATACAACAATAATTTATTGTTTATTCATGCTCTCAGACCTAGATATATTTCCTGCCATCTTTCTTGTACCCCTTGTGGCAAACAAGTTGGGCTAAGGCACCTCTGTGAATTGTTTAGCCCTTCGAGTAAAGAAATGAGAAGCAGTGAATCTCGAAACGGGCGCCAATCTCCTCAGAATACCACACTAATATTCTACGGAAACTGAGGATGATTATGCTGCTGACTTAGCTGTCATACAGGGATGTGATTCTGGGTATCTAAAATTGACAAACTGATTAGGATAAACCTTTCTTATCGTGGCTTTGAGTCAGCCCACAAATTTATTGGTTCTTTGAATATTAGTGATCACTATAATGCTTTTTTATTCGGAACTCCTGCAGGAAAGTTAAATTTTCGGTGCACGTTTACGTGTAAACGAGGCATACATGCTAAACAGATACCCCAAATCTCATAAACGTAAGTGTTACTTCATCTGCTGGGTTAAATTCAACAGAGGACGTGCGACGATCACTTTATTGCTAGCAGATTCTTGTAAAAAGAACTGCGGAATTGAATAATCATCGTGTGGAGTGGCCAACTGTAGAGTACTGTACGCTACAGGATTCATACCAAGAAGCGATTGCTAAAGACTCATGCAAACAGGCGGACGTAAGTTGATTTAGTTGCTTCGATATGTTTAACTGACACGAAACAAAAGGGCTCATGGACTGACAAACCGTTGCTTCGTACCGAGCCTAAATAAATGGTTCTTTAGTTCAGTCACTCATAGTCATGTCAGTCATAAAGTTACAGCCCATTTCGAAGAAATTTTCCGTGAACAAGAATTCTCAAGGTAAAAATTATCGGCCGTCCAGATCCCCACTCATGTTGCATGTTATTTTTGACAGCTGCTTGTCCGCAATCTAAGAGAAATTGGCATGCTGTTGTCGGTAATTTTAGTTGAGAAAAACTGCGATTTCACTGAGTAGTAGGTGAGTAAATTTGTTTAGACATAATTACTGACGACGTTGAAAACAAGCTGACAATGAAAAGAAGGCTTGATCAACCTCCTAATGTGTACGCTACCATGTGGTTGTCTCCAGATTTGAGTGCAGTC